ATCCAGGAAATTCTTAATTATGTTATCATTTCATATAGATTTGAAATGATGTGATAATCACACATCAAGTTTTCACTATATGTAGAACTGATTCTGCAAAATTCTTTTCCATCTGCTAATTTCTGCTTATTATCAATTTGGCTTTAGATTTACTTTTGCCAATACCAGACATAAAAAAGTGATTTTTATATCTTCTTCAGCAGAAAATAATTCAACAAAAAGTAACAATTTTAAAGTGAAGTAATGGCATTTGGACCATTCACTCTCTTGTGCAACTGTTATCTCTGTCATATTTTAAAAATATTTTCTTTGCTACAAATCAGGTTCCTTATCCATTAATGGTCACTCTCAGTTCCTTCTCTTGTAAGTCACACAACCACCAGTCTGTTTCTGTTTCCATGGATTTAATGTCCTGAGTGTTTTGTATAAATTAAATATTAGACTCTGTGGATTTAGGTGGCCTTTGATTTTGCATGGTGTTTTCAAGGAACATTCACATCATTTCGGGTATCTACATTTTTCATGACAAACTGATAATTCCTTGTAGTAATTCATTGAGTTTTGTGTGTCCAGTTAACCATACACTGACTTGTGTGTTATTTTTACTTTGGCTGTTTGGAGACACACACTGATGTACAAGAGATTTTTGCATATTTTCTAATTTTGGAGTGTACCATTAGGTGTGGGATGTTTTGGTCATCAATGAATTTTATGTTGAATTTGCTAAGGAGGTGACAACTGTCTTCCATACCATATGTGTTGTAACTTTCTAGCATGGTTTCAAGATTCCAAATTCCCTATGGCATCTCTGACACCTGACAACTTTGAAAGTTTTTATAGCCAGTTAGTGTTTGTGAAGTAGAGGCTCCTTCTGGTGTGGAACAGGCTTGTCCATACTTATTACTGATTAGCATCATTTGTAATGTCCTTTGGTCATTTATTTATCTGTGCAGAAATATCCATCATATTATATTCCCATTGTTCATGAATTATATTTTGTTGTTACTTCTGCTTTCTAAAAATATATTTTCTTGTTTGTAAGTTACTCAATTTGTTTATATTTCAAATTTTACTTGATGTATACAAGTTTCATGAATATCATATATACAGTTTTAGATCACAGAGATACTTCCCACCTATCCATTTCGTCCTGTCCACAAAAATCTGAAGCTTCTTTTTTTAAAAAGATTTATTTATTTTATTTGAAAGAGTTAAACAGAGAGAGGAGGGGCAGAGAGAGAGAGAGGTCTTCCATCTGATGATTCACTCCCCAATTGGCCGCAATGGCCAGAGCTGTGCCGATCCAAAGCCAGGAGCTCCTTCCAGGTCTCCCATGATTTGGGCCATCCTCCACTGCCTTCCCAGGCCACACAGAGAGCCAGACAGGAATTGGAACAAACAAGTATCAAACTGGTGCTCATATAGGATGCTGGCACTTCAGACCAGGGTGTTATCCCACTGCTCCACAGCGCCAGCCCCAATCTTATTCTTCTTCCTCCTCCCTCTCCTATCGCCACTCTTAATTTTTGCAAAGAACTGTTTTCTGGTTTACTTTATACTCAGGAGATTAACCTTACCATATGTAATGTGTTCTACAAATGGTATGAAGAAACCAACACTATTCCTCAAAATAAAGACAAAGGCTATAAAAAAAACATGGAATCTCAAATTGTCAATTTTACTCCAACATTACATTTAGGCACTTGTTATGATGGATAAGAGAATACATATGGTTTATGTCTGTTTTTGATACTGGCTGATTTCTCTTAAGTATCATGGTTTTCAGCTGCATCAATTTTGTTGCGATAGACAGGATTTCTTTTCTTTTTTTTTCCTGCTGATTAATATTCTTAGAGTATATATACCATGGTTTCTTTATCCAGTCAGCTATTGATGGATATCTGGGTTGATTCCATTTCTTAGCTATTTTGAATTGAGCTGCAATGAGCATGGGGGTATAGATGACCCTTTTTCGTGCTGATTTCATTTTGTTTGAGGAGATTCCTAGGAATCAGTTGGATGGGTCATATGGCAGATCTATTTTCAGCTCTCATAGGTTTCTATACTGTGTTTCACAATGACTGAATCAGTTTACATTCCCACAACCTGTGGATGAGGGTACATTTTCCTTCAAATCCTCTCCAGCACAGGTTGTTTGTTGATTTCTGTAGGAGAGCCATTCGGACAGGTGAGGTGAAATCAACCTAAATGCCCATCAATGGAAGAATGGATAAAGAAACTATGGATATGAACTCTATAGAATACTACAAAGTGGCAAAAGCAAAAAATGAAATCTGGTTATTTGCAACAAAATGGAGGAATCTGGAAAACATCATGCTGAGTGAAATAAGCCAGTCCCAAAGGGACAAATATCCTATGTTCTCCCTGATCTGTGACAACTAACTGAGCACCTAAAAGGAAACCTGTAGAAGTGAAACTGACACTAGGAGAAGCAATGACTTGATTAGTGCTTTGAGCAACAGTTTACTATTTTATTCTTTTTAGTATTTTCTTTTTCTACTTAATACCATTGGTTGAACTCTTGAATTAACATTGAATTATCCTTAGGTGTTTAAAGTTAACTGAAAATTGATCCTTGTTAAAATAAGAGTGGGAGGGGCCAAACCTGTGGTGCAGCAGGTTAAAGCCATGGCCTGAAGTGTCAGTATCCCACATGGGTGCCGGTTCAAGTCCCAGCTGCTCTTCTTTGGATCCATCTCTATTCTATGGCCTGGGATAGCAGTAGAAGATGGCCCAAGTTGTTGGGCCCCTGCACCCACGTGGGAGACCTGGAAGAAGCTCCTGTCTCTTGGCTTCCTGATTGGTGCAGCCCCGGCCGTTGCGGCCATCTGGGAAGTGATGCAGTGGGTGGAAAACCTTTCTATCTGTCTCTACCTCTCTCTGTAGCTCTGTCTTTCAAATAAATAAAATAAGCCTTTCAAAAAGAATAAGAGTGAGAATAAGAGATGGAGGAGATATACAGTTTGGCACATCCTCCCTCGGACTTATCCCTAAGGGTAAAGCTAAAAATGTGTCATGGGACTCAAAATCACATTAAGTTGGCAGATATAAACACCGTCTTACTAGTTAAAGTGATCAGTTTAAGTTCATAATTGATCATAAATATAGGATTAAGTGTCAAAGGATCACATAAATAAGACCAGTGTCTGCTAATAATAATTGATAGAATTAAAAAGGAGAGAACAATCCAACATAGGATGCTGAATACACAGCAGACTCATAGAATTACAAATGCCCTAAACAGCACTTTGGCCTCAGGATCAGCTCTTAAGGCATTTGGATTTGGCTGAAAAGCTTATGAGAGGCATGGAGGCAAGGAAAGCCAAGATACTGTAGCCAAAAAAAAAAAAAAAAAAAAAAAAAAAAGCCTGCAGAAAGATCTCTGTCAGTGAGATCCCAGCGTAAATAATGGGCCATCAAAGAGGGAAGTACCTTTTTCTGAAGGGAGGAGGGATCTTCCCCTTTAATTATGGCCTTGTCTAAATAAGATTGGAGTTTGTGAACTGAAGAGGCTTCCAGGGGCTAGTGCCGTGGCTCACTTAGTTAATCCTCCACTGTGGCACTGGCATCAAATATGGGTGCCAGGTTCTAGTCCCGGTTGCTCCTCTTCCAGTCGAGCTCTCTGCTCTGGCCCAGGAAGGCAGTGGAGGATGGCCAAAAGTGCTTGGGTGGCTGCACCCACATGGGAGACCAGGAAGAAGCAGCTGGCTCCTGGCTTCAGATCAGCATAGTTCCGGCCACAGCAGCCATTTGTGGGGTGAACAAACAAAGGAAGACATTTCTCTCTGCCTCTCTCTCTCTCACTGTCTAACTCTATTCATAAAAAAATAGGCTCCAAAGCCTTGGCAGCTCATGACGAAAGCCTCAGGTGATTACTGACATCATAAATAAGAGTGTCAATTGTTAAATCAAAAACAGGAGTTACTGTACACTTGCTTCTATATAGGACCTCTGTCCTTAATGTGTTGTACTATGAGAATTAACGGTAAAACTAATCTTCAAACAGGACTTGATACTTTGTGTGTCTGTGTGGGTGCAAACTGTTGTAATTTTACTTAGTATAGAGTTGATCTTCTGTATATAAAGATAACAAAATGAATCTGAGTGAAGAATGGGATGGGAGAGGGATTAAGAGATGGATGGTATGCCGCTGGGAGGGTTGTTATGGGAGGAAGAACCACTGTAATCCAAAAGTGGTACTTTTGAAATTTACATTTGTTAAATAAAAGTTTTCTATGAAAAAAAGAATGTAGAAGATATGTGATAAATATGAAAGAAATAGTTAAGCAAAAAAATGATGAATAGATCTGGGTGCCAAATTTTTTGAAATTCATGCATAATGTTTCATAACACACATTTTCAATACATTTTCGAAGCCTTCTCATTGCATGGAATTCATCCTTTCCAGTCCCAACCTTTATTCAGTGAATCTTGTGCATTCAGATTGACTCTACTTTTAGTTTCTACACATTAGAGAGAATGGGAGATGTTTGCTCTCTGATTTAGATTTACTTTTCTTGTTTAACTGAATAGACAACAAGTTTTGTCATTGTACTGGTAATAAATCTAACTCATCAAGACATTATATTTTCAATTTTATGCAAGTCAGTGAATTTTGTGTGTTTTGTGCCTATACTTCATCTCAATTTGCATGAGCCTGTATTCAAAATCTCACTAATGGCATCAGAGCAGTGACTAGGCAATGGAGAATGTGTTTTGCTTAAAATATTAGGGAACTCATTGATAGAAGTTTGAGTTTAGGAAACTTCTGAGTGGAATAACAGAGTTCTCTTCCATGCTCTCTTGTTTCCCTCCTCATTAGATTTACTCCATTAGTGATACCTCACACTGATATGCAAGGACAAATGATTAGTCAGTGTTGATCATCATTTTTGCTTACAAGACATGCTATCCATTTTGTTCAGTTGTGTTGTGCAGTCTCTTGGTTGTGCAAAGCATTAAAGATATGTAGCTGCCCTGATGGTGTCCTACATGAGTCCTTAAAGTCATTTACATTCAAGAAGTACAAGTATCTGTATGCATCATCCTGCCCTTGGTGTTTGTCGTGGTGGGAATAAAGTGATGACTTCCAGCTAGTATTGTCTGCCTTATAGTAAAAAGTGAGAAGTCCTCAAGTAGTCCCTAGTTCTCATGAGAGTATTAACCAAGGTTTTAGTGTGAAAACAGATTACCATGAGATTACCATGGTTAACAGCAATGTGGAAGGGTTTCATATTTTACAACTGAAGATGTGATGATTTGACATACAGAATGAAACTCCTGAATTCAGGGTGATTACTGGTTCCACAGTGCTTGAGAATCAGAAGGCCTATTGGGTATCTTTGTAAACAGGATCTGCTTTGGGTCTGTGTGGCATCAAGGCAATGTGTGGCTCCCCAGAACATGGGGTCTGGAGGCTGCCCTATTGTTCTTTGGGTCTTTGAAGTGTGTTACACTGGATTTTTCTGGTCTGAAAACTTTCTGAGAAACTCACCTGATGCCTCTCTTCATGCCCTCTGATGCAATCCAGGTACATAATTGCCAAAAGTTCATGGAGAGGTTTATTGACAAAGCCCATGGACCAAATGTAACTAATAGAATTTATGCCCTTGAGTCTTTGTACCCATGGACTTGGAGGAAATACTTGCACCTGGGGTGAAGAGGATGATTCACAAACATGTTTTCCTTCTTGTGTTTTTCATCAGGACAGAAGCCCTGAGCTGCAGAGCCTCAGGGTAGAAAGGGTTCCAGATTCCCACATGGACGAATGGACAGATGGTAGAAAGAAATCAGATTGAGCAGTATTAAAATGGCTTGATGCGAGGAATCACACACACACACACACACACACACATGCTATTTGTATGCACATGCATGACCCTTCAAGTTCCACTATGGTTGTGTCCTAGGGTTTTCACAGACTTTGAAGATGTTCCCTTTGAATTTTCTGTTGCTCTTTTTGCAATTGTGTCTCCTTGTGACTTGTCATGATGATCAGAACTGCTTTTTCCAGATGGAACGGAGTTATTACAAGGATGGAGATATTGAGATCGCTGCTTTTTTCCCCATTTATATATACCTTGTGGACAGAATGATTAATATTTTCAAAAACCATGTCACATTCAAGGGGTAAGTTCTCTTTGCCATAATCATTTTCCTTGATTTACATAATAGATGCTTGCTATTGGGTCTGCCGATGGATAGGCGCATGCATTGTGTGTCCCTGCCCTTTCCATTTCTGTCCCACCTAAAAAGTTCTGATAATTAACTTGGGGCATGTGGAAGACATTTCTTTGTGCCTGGCACATTGCATTGTTCAGAGAAATGTTATCTCATCCTAGGAGAAAGGAGAGTCTGGTTGGGATCTTCTTGTCCTTCGCTGTCCATGTTCATCAGCTCAGGGGCCTATTGTGCCTCAGTAGCAGGTTCTTACAGAACCCATGCACTGAAATGAACAACCCTGAGTTACATGAGCTCTTCCACATGTGCTCACAAACTTTTCTGCTACATATTAGATTTGGAGCCATGAGCTCACTTCATTTCTTCTACAGTCTAAAAGAAGAAAAGATATTCAAGAAAGTAAGATTTTACTAGGTAAAAGTAACCTCAGGCCACAAGTATAATAATAATTGTATGTTAATGATGAATATACCCATAAGAACTGTAATGGTTGGAATCTACACATTCAGGATGCACCCCTGATTCTTTTTCTGGAAAAATACATTTCAGAAGAGGGATTATTCTGCTCTGCCCATCTTTAAGATACGGTCTACCTGTAGCTAAATATAAATGTTTCATATATATTTATATAGGAATATTTCATGCCTCCAGAATATAGTATCTTGTAGGACAGTGAAATTGTTTTCCTCACATCTGTTTATTTTGGTGCTAATTTCTAATTGGTTTCTACTGTAAGCTATAAAAGTAGGTTGATGATACATAGATCTTTGATAGAAGGTAGATATTAGGACATATATCATTGCAGTATCATTAAAGCCAATGGAATTTAGAACTATAGTTGGTGCCACAAAGGTGAGACAACTGATCAAGTATTTTAGGCATTTGTCCTAAGTTCTATCCAGAAAAAATCTAATGGATACCAGCTTGGTATAATGATATTATTCACTTCACATGATGTTTATGAATTTGCCTATTTTGATAGTGCACATGACATCCCAATTATGAAATATTTATTTATTAGTAGTAGTGGTATTTCCCATGGTTATGCATGCAGTACATCATTTATATGTACCCTAAATGATGGAGACCAGAAGAGTGTAAATTTCCCGTAGTAGGAATAGAGTTTATGAATAGAGCCCAGGTTCCTCCAAGATGTATACCTTGCCAACTGGAGATCATAACCAAATCTTAGCAAACCCAGGAGAAAATGCCTGTGTTAATGATACTTGGGAATATAATATAAGATTCAACAACTTTAGAATACCCAATAATTATTTATAAACTGTTCTTAGAGATAAGAAACACAACATAAAACAGATTGAAAAGGCAACTCTCAAAAATGCACAGTGTGTCCAAAAATCTTTTAGACCTTTTCTACCAATGGCAGCAGGAATAAGAAATGAGAGGTTAAGGAATTGATGGAAATGTAAAGAATGAGGAGGGGAACAGAGAAATATGAACTACAAAATGGAATATTATTTGATACTCTTAGCAAGAATTTTTAAAGTTCTTCATTCTGTACACAAAGTATGAGTGAAATATTTGGATAACAAATATTTATAGAAATGAGATTTATATAAAACAATAGATATTGAGCAACTCTTTACATGGTAATGGATACCTATATATAAATATATAGGCAGAATATGTATATAATATGCATGCATACATACATATTATGTTGCAACATGAACCAAGAAAAGAAAAACTGTCACTTCCTCTGGAGCACACAGTGACCCTTAATATCAGTGTACATGACCTAGTCTATTCATAATGACTCAACACACAGTAAATCTGAAATACATACAAGGGGCTCCTCATTTACACACTTTGTGAAATGTCAGAACCTGGAAAGTAGAAATGCTTCATGTTCTTTGCATGGAAGGATATTTATGTTTGGTTCTGTAGGGAAAATTGGGTGAATAAGGCCAGTTTGGAGTATATACTTATACCACTGATAATGATTTACTTTAATATATACCTAGTGTTCAAAATAAATGCATGACTGTCTTAATTGTAAAGCATTACAAATCCAACCTGGGAGTGTTTCAGGGCTTTTCTAAAGTGTCCCTCCCTTTTCACTGATTTCCTTCTTTCAAGCTCTGAATCTGATTTCATTTTCCTGGCTTGTGATGGTGGTTGATGGGTGAGTTTGTTGGGGAAGAGATTTTTCAGGATATATCCAGACTTACATCTACCATTCTCAGTGCTTTGACGTCATCCTTCTATGTGATCACATAGCCTTCAGTTGAGTTACTCTCTTTTCCCATTACAACCTGCAGCCTTATGATCATAGGACTCCTATTTCAAGAAGCATATAATGATGTGATAAGATGAAGCATCATTGTAGTTTCCAAATATAGGAGTATTTGTAGAGGCAGTGCTAAAGATGCACCTTTCCTTGTCAAGTTTTCTTTGAAACATGAATGTTATTTCTAGGTGTGCATAAACTTTTGAAAGGGCATTCCAGAGCATATTATAGTATTTAGATATCAAATATAAAAACTTAGAAGACGTAGTTGTTTCCAGAGATGATTTAAATTGATAGGTTTATATTAAAAAATAAGATCATTTTCTTTGGCTGCATGGACAGCCATGTGATAACATGCCCAAGACATTATAATGTAAAAGCAGATCTTATTTTCAGAATCATTTAGGCTGGGAGACCAAGATCAAGGGAGTAGCAGCTATGGTTCTGGTGAGGACATGTGTCCTGCAAATGCAACACTCTTAACACGCTGTCCTCAGCAAATGTGCAGATAATCATTAGAACATATGAATCTTTGGCCAAGACCAATCAATCTGTTACAGTTATTACAGAAGAATTGATGATAATCTGGATTTGAGGCTTCTCCCTTAAAGATCCTTGTGCCTTTCATACAGGTTTCAGTCCAAAAACTACCAGTATGTTCTGGCCTTGGTTTTTGCTATTGAGGAGATCAACAAGAACCCCCAGCTTTTACCCAACGTGACCTTGGGATTTGATCTCTATAATGTCATGCACAGTGACATGATGGTGATGCAGAATCCCTTCATCTGGCTTGCAGGACTAGAAGAGGATGTTCCTAATTACATGTGTAGGAAATGGAGCAAGTCTGTAGCTGTAATATCAGGAACAAGCATTGCTGTCCAAGTAGGGACACTGCTGGAACTCTACAAAATTCCACAGGTGAGTGTGTAAGTGAAAGAGAGGGATAAAAGCACATCACCTGAGGTGCCTGACTTAGACCCAAAAATTTAAGTGACAGAACCAAATACACTTGCCACAGCGTGTGATCAAAAGTGAAGGCGTATAGAGATTAGGTGGATTAGCCACATATTATCAGAAGCAGAGTGTTGGCAAGTGAAAAGGAGAAATGTTTTCCTTAATCTGTGAATGTAATGTCTCAAGAACTAGGATGGTTTCATGCAGGGGGATAAGAAAAATGAAATATTGTAAAATCTTCTGATGCTTCCATCATCTGCTTAATTTCTTCAGGAGTAAGATAGTACACTATGGCAATATCCTTACACATATTTCTTGCATTTTCTCTTAGCTGACTCTTGGGTCTTTTGAACCACTTCTGAGTGACAGTGGTCAGTTTCCTTCCCTCTATCAGATGGCCCCCAAAGACACTTCTCTGGCCCTTGGCATAGTCTCCTTGATGCTTCATTTCAGCTGGACGTGGGTGGGTTTGGCCATCTCAGACCTCCCAAAAGGTATTCAGTTTATGTCCAATTTGAAAGTAGAGATGCAGAAGAATGGCATCTGTGTGGACTTTGTGGAACTGATCCCAGTCACTGAGGAGTCTTATTTTTCACTCCAGAATAGGTTTCATATCCAGATCCTAAAATCATCAGCAAATGTGGTGATTCTTTTCTGTGACACTGATTCACTCATAGGCATCAGCTTTCCAACATGGGAACGTGTAATGACATGGAAAGTCTGGGTCACCACCTCACAATGGGATTTTGCCAGTGGTGAGCATCATATCCTGCTCCACTCATTCCATGGGACTCTCATTTTTTCACACCACCATAGTGAGATCTCTGGTTTCAAAAACTTTCTTCAGACAGCTAATCCTTCCAAATACCCAGAAGACATTTACCTCTTAAGATTCTGGTCATTGGTTTTTGATTGCTCAGTTACTGGGGCATCCTGTAAAACTTTGCAGAACTGTCCACTGAATGCCTCCTTGGAATCCTTGCCTCCACATCGTTTTGATATGAGCATGAGTGATGGGAGTTACAACATATATAATGCTGTGTATGCTGTGGCCCACAGCGTACATGAGATGCTTCTACAATTGTTAGAAATGCAGCCAGTGAACAATGGGGCAAAGGTGGCATTTTCTCCCTGGCAGGTAATTTGGTTTCCATTGTATGACATGTACTCCTGATGTGATCCCCTTAAGAGCTTCTGCCGGTGTTCAAACCAAGTAGCTTGGGAACATTTCTCCAATCACAAGATATATATGAGCCTCTGCTTGTAATTTGTCATAAGACACAGGGTTCCATTGACAAGTGGGAAGGTAACTTGGATAAGCTTCAGTGTTGTGTCTTAAAAAGTACTCTCCCATCCTGTCAGTTTAATTAGGACTTGTGAATACCTAGACTCTCTCATTCTGTTTTCAGTCTCAACGGTAAAAAATTATTACTTTTTAGTGTCAAATGTTGTTAAGTATGTTCAGCCACAATGTACATAAGACATCTCATTAAATTGCATATTTTTTATCCTGGTAATTGTACTACAGATGGTTGTCCTAGGTACACTGAGAAAATAAGTGAGTGTTGGTAGCATGGAGTCCACAGTTGGAAATGATCAGAATCTCACAGTTAGATATTTTGATTGCCCTAGTTTTTAGATGAAAATGAGTGAAATCATACTTACTTTGAGGTAGTTCTCATCGTGTTTTTAGTTTTAATTCATTGGGTAGCTATAAAAAGTTCTCTTTGTTTATTTGTGATTACAGACAAAAGGCTTTCTCTAACCTGGGTTTGATGTGTTATTGCTTGGGCCATCTTCATGTGAATATGATGTATTTTTTCAGTTGCACCCATTTCTCAAGAACCTCCAATTTACCAATCCTGTGGGTGACCTAGTGAATTTGAATCACATGACGAATTTGGAAGCTGAATACGACATTCTCAACTTTTGGAATTTTCCATATGATGTTGGACGTAAGGTTAAAGTAGGACAGTTTTCCCCTTATGCCTCACAGAGCCAGAAGTTGTCTCTCTCTGAGAATTTGATAGAATGGGCCACAGGAATTACAGAGGTAAGTTGCACCTGATCATAAGGTTCACAATGCACATTGTTACCCACAATTCATATGGGGATTTGTGCCACTTGGCTTATTAAAAACACACTTAGAGACATTAAACTACACCCCTTCCAATCTAAATACTTTCTTATGTTTTTAGTGTCTGAGGTTGGACAGTACACACACTTGTTCCTCCACATGTTTTGATTCCATTTATTTAGAAAATCAAATTGCATGCAATCATTTTGTCAGAAATAGGTATCTACAGCTTAAGAGAACAGGTTGTGCAGGACTTGAAAACCCTCTACTTGGAACAGAAGTAACATTCCCAATATGACCAATATTCATTTGATTTTTCTCAGACTCCACATTCAGTATGCAGTGAGACTTGCAGCCCTGGATTCAGGAAAGCCCCTCTGGAGGGGAAGCCTACCTGTTGTTTTGATTGCACACCTTGTCCTGAGAATGAGATTTCCAATCAGACAGGTAAGTCAGTGCCAGCCTCATGGAGAAATTAAAACCTGTTTCTTAAAATATTCCTCTTCTCCATGGAAAGAAAAGGATGTGGAGTATGACTGCTGAGAAGATTCTTTTCACCTTCTGGTAGAAGTTAAACCTTATATTCAGTAATAACCCTTAAAATGATAAAAGTTTGCACACTATACTTTACTGCATGTAGTATTTGCAAAATCATTTTGGTAAATTCACATCTATGTTCCTTGTACATAAATAGATAAAATGCTTTCACCTAATTCAAGCATAGCATGCTTGGAGTGAGAAAGCACAACTCTCATCAGACTGTGTGTAATTTGAAAAACTGTATTAGAAATTATACAGTATATCATGCTGAGGATAATACTCATCAGATATCATAAACGAGCTAACCTTAGCCTTGAGCAAAATCATTGCATATCAAAATATAAATCTTCAGGAACATTCATATGCTTACACTCATACACACTCATGAGTAAAATTTATTTTGAAAGAATACAGGCTGACATCCATGGTAAAAAGTATGCATATCAAGGTACGTCAATGACAGCAAATTCAACACAAGCGCTTGAAGATTGGTTGTGGACATTATGAGGAAACTGAAGTAAATAAAAATTGGAAGATCTTACAGTTGGTGATCATAAAACAAGCAAAATTTATGAACCTCAGCCAGTTGGAACAGTACTAAAAACCAGATTACAATGTCTGTGTGTGTAACACAAAGAGAGCTGAAGAGGTCTCTGTACAGATATAAAAGATACTAATATTAATATTAGAACATGTTAATCATTTAATGGTGACAGATTGAAGAATATAGAAGAAATTCAAAAATTTCCAGATAGAATTATTATGAAATACTTTCAGAAATATTTGAAAAATCTAAGTAACCTTACAGTTATTAAAATAATTCCCAATACTTTTATTGAGATAAACACCTTTATCAAACGTTCACATAGGAAAGGAACTCTTTTTCTCAATTCCTGTACAGAATAGGAAAATTTCTGTTTCTTCTACAGGAACATCTTTTTTTTTTAACTTTTATTTAATGAATATAAATTTCCAAAGTACAGCTTATGGATTACAATGGCTTACCCCCCATAACGTCCCTCCCACCTGCAACCATCCCCTTTCCCATCCCCTCTCCCCTTCCATTCATATGCGGATTCATTTTCAATTCTCTTTATCTACAGAAGATCAGTTTAGCATACATTAAGTAAAGATTTCAACAGTTTGTTCCCACACAGAAACATAAAGTGAAAAATAATAGATGATTTTTTAAATGATGATGAAATCAGATCAGACCTATTTCCATGTTTACTCCCAGTGAGTCAAGTTAGGAATTGATATATTCTTTTTTCTTTTTCATTTTTTTTCCAGAAGATCAGTTTAGTATAAATTAAGTAAAGATTTCAACAGCTTGCACCCCCATAGAAACACAAAGTGAAATATACTGTTTGAGTACTCGTTATAGCATTAAATCTCAATGTACAGCACATTAAGGACAGAAATCCTACATGAGGAGTAAGTGCACAGTGACTCCTGTTGTTGACTTTACAAATTGACACTCCTGTCTATGGCATCAGTAATCTCCCTATGCTCCAGTCAAGAGTTTCAAAGGCTAATGAAGCCTTTTGAGTTCTCCGACATCTTACCTTGTTTAGACAAGGCCATGGTCAAAGTGGAAGTTCTCTCCTCCCTTCAGAGAAAGGTACCTCCTTCTTTGAAGACCTGTTCTTTCCACTGGGATCTCACTCAGAGAGATATTTCTTTTAGGTGTTTTTTCTTTTTTTTTTTTCTCCAGAGTATCCTGGCTTTCCATGCCTGAAATACTCTCATGAGCTTTTCAGCCAGATCCGAATGCCTTTAGGGCTGATTCTGAGGCCACAGTGCTGTTTAGGACATCTGCCATTCTATGAGTCTGCTGAGTATCTCTCTTCCCATGTTGGATCACTCTCCCCTTTATTTATTCTATCGGTTAGTATTAGCAGGTACTAGACTTGTTTATGTGCTCCCTTTGACTTTTAGTCCTTTCATTATGATCAATTGTGAACTGAAATTGATCACTTGGAATAGTGAGATGGCATTGGTACATGCCACCTTGATGGGATTGAATTGGAATCCCCTGGTATGGTTCTAACTCTACCATTTGGGGCAAGTCAGCTTGAGCATGTCCCAAATTATACATCTCTTCCCTCTCTTATTCCCACTCTTATGTTTAACAGGGATGACATTTCAGTTAAATTTCAACACTTAAGAATAACTGTGTATTAATTACAGAATTAAACCAGTCATAGTAAGTAGAACCAACAAAAAAATACTAAGAGGGATAATGTATTAAGTTGTTCATTAACAGTCAGGGCTATGCTGATCAAGTCACCGTTTCCCATAGTGTCCATTCCACTTCAACAGGTTTCCTTTTTGGTGTTCAGTCAGTTGTCACCGATCAGGGAGAACATATGGTTTTTGTCCCTTTGGGAGTGGCTTATTTCACTCAGCATGATGTGTTCCAGATTCCTCCATTTTGTTGCAAATGACTGGATTTTGTTGTTTCTTACTGCGGTATAGTATTCTAAAGAGTACATATCCCATAATTTCTTTATCCAGTCTACCGTTGATGGGCATTTGGGTTGGTTCCAGGTCTTGGCTATTGTGAATTGTGCTGCAATAAACATTAGGGTGCAGATTGCTTTTTTGTTTGCCAATTTCATTTCACTTGGGTAAATTCCAAGGAGTGGGATGGCTGGGTCGAACGGTAGGGTTATCTTCAGGTTTCTGAGGAATCTCCAGACTGACTTCTATAGTGGCTTGACCAGTTTGCATTCCCACCAACAGTGGGTTAGTGTCCCTTTTTCCCCACATCCTCGCCAGCATCTGTTGTTGGTAGATTTCTGTATGTGAGCCATTCTAAGCGGGGTGAGGGGAAACCTCATTGTGGTTTAGATTTGCATTTCCCTGATTGCTAGTGACCTTGAACATTTTTTCATGTGCCTGTTGGCCATTTGGATTTCCTCTTTTGAAAAATGTCTATTGAGGTCCTTGGCCCATCTCTTAAGTGGGTTGTTGGTTTTGTTTTTGTGGAGTTTCTTGATCTCTTTGTAGATTCTGGTTATTAACCCTTTATCTGTTGCATAGTTTGCAAATATTTTTCCCATTTGTCGGTTGTCTCTTCACTTTCCTGACTGTTTCTTTTGCAGTACAGAAACTTCTCAATTTGATGCAATCCCAAGTTGATTTTGGCTTTGACTGCCTGTGCCTCCCGGGTCTTTTCCAGAAATTCTTTACCTGTGCCAATATCTTGAAGGGTTTCTCCAATGTTCTCTAATAACTTGATGGTGTCAGGTCATAGATTTAGGTCTTTAATCCATGTTGAGTGGATTTTTGTGTAAGGCGTAAGGTAGGGGTCTTGCTTCATGCTTCTGCACGTGGAAATCCAGTTTTCCCAGCACCATGTATTGAATAGACTGTCCTTGCTCCAGGAATTGGTTTTAGATAATTGATCAAATATAAGTTGGCTGTAGATCTTGGATTGATTTCTGGTGTTTGAATTCTGTTCCATTGGTCTATCCATCTGTTTCTGTACCAGTACCATGCTTTTTTGATTGCAACTGCCCTGTAGTATGTCCTGAAATCTGGTATTGTGATGCCTCCAGGTTTGTTTTTGTTGTACAAGATTGCTTTAGCTATTCAAGGTCTCTTGTGCCTCCATATAAATTTCAGCACAATTTTTTCTAGATCTGAGAAGATGGTCTTCGGTATCTTGATTGGTATTGCATTGAATTTATAAATTGCTTTTGGGAGAATGGACATTTTGATGATATTGATTCTTCCAATCCATGAGCATGGAAGATTTTTCCATTCTTTGGTATCCTCTTCTATTTCTTTCTTTAAGGTTTTGTAATTCTCATCGTAGAGATCTTTAACGTCCTTGGTTAAGTTTATTCCAAGGTATTTGATTGCTTTTGTAGCTATTGTGAATGGGATTGATCTTAGAAGTTCTTCCTCAGCCATGGCATTGTCTGTGTATACAAAGGCTGTTGATTTTTGTGCATTGATTTTATACCCTGCTGCTTTACCAAACTCTTCCATGAGTTCCAATAGTCTCTTAGTAGAGTTCTTTGGGTCCCCTAAATAAAGAATCATATCATCTGCAAAGAGGGATAGTTTGAGTTCTTCCTTCCCAATTTGTATCCCTTTAATTTCTCTTTCTTGCCTAATAGCTCTGGCTAAAACTTCCAGAAATATATTGAATAGCAGTGGTGAGAGTAGGCATCCCTGTCTGGTACCAGATCTCACTGGAAATGCTTTCAATTTTTCCCCATTCAATAGGATGTTGGCTGCGGGTTTTTCATAGATTGCTTTGATTGTATTGAGGAATGTTCCTTCCAAACCTAGTTTGCTTAGAGTTTTCATCATGAACGGGTGTTGTATTTTATCAAATGCTTTCTCAGCGTCTATTGAGATAATCATATGGTTTTTCTTCTGCAGTCTCTTAATGTGGTGGATCACATTGATTGTTTTGCGCACATTAAACCACCCCTGCATACCAGGGATAAATCCCACTTGGTCTGGGCGGATGATCTTTCTGATGTGTTGTTGCATTCTATTGGCGAGAATTTTATGGAGGATTTTTGCATCTATGTTCATCAGGGATATTGGTCTGTAATTCTCTTTCAATGCTGCATCTTTTTCTGGCTTAGGAATTAAGGTGATGCTGGCTTCATCAAAAGCATTTGGGAGGACTCACTCTTTTTCGAGTTTTCTGAATAGTTTGAGAAGAATTGGAGTTAGTTCTTCTTTAAATGTCTGGTAGAATTCAGCAGTGAATCCATCTGGTCCTGGGCTTTTCTTTGTTGGGAGGGCCTTTATTACTGTTTCAACTTCTGTCTCAGTTATGGGTCTGTTAGGTTTTCTATGTCTTCCTGGTTCAATTTAGGTAGGTTGCATGTGTCCAGGAATCTATCCATTTCTGATAGGTTTCCCTGTTGCTGGCATACAAGTCTTTGTAGTAATTTCTGATGATTCTTTTATTTCTGTGGTGTCTGTTGTTACGTTTCCTTTTTCATCTCTGATTTTATTGATTTGTGTCTTTTCTCTTCTTTTTTAGTTAGTTGGGCCAATGGGGTGTCAATTTGTTTATTTTTCAAAAAACCAGCCTCTCGTTTGGCTGATTTTTTGTAATGTTTTCTTGGATTCAATCCTGTTGATTTCTTCTCTGATTTTAATTATTTCTCTTCTCCTAGTAGATTTGGGTCTGGTTTGCTGTAGGTTTTCTAGATCCTTAAGGTGAATTGAATGCTCATCTATTTGGTGCCTTTCCAATTTCTTGATGTAGGCACCTATTGATATAAACTTTCCTCTTAACACTGCTTTTGCTGTATCCCATAAGTTTTGGTACATTGTGCTGTTATCCTCATTTACTTCCAGAAAATTTTTGATTTCTCTTTTAATGTCTTCTATGACCCATTGTTCATTCAGGC